AAAAAAAGTCAACAAAACTACCACTACCAAATCAAAAACCAAAACAGACTAAAGAAAAAAAAAAAAAACAGCAGAACAGAATAAAACAAATAAAATTTACAAGAGGAAAAAAGGTTTTACTTTCTCATTAATAAAAAAATTTTTTTAATGAATCTATTATACTGTTTTGTAACTTTTTTTTTCTCCTGTCTTCTCCTTCATCTTCGTCTTTTTCGTCTCCTTTAGCAGTAGCGACAACAGCAACAATAACAACTAATTTATTTACTAGTATCCTTATTTTTATTTTTTATCTTTTTTTTCTTCTTTTGGCTTATCATTTGGAACAAATACAATGGTTTCAGATAAATAGATGCTGCTTTAGTAATTTGATCATTAATTGACTGTACAATGTTGGTGTAACTGTGTTGTATCTGTATATGTGAATTAATGATACTGCTTCACAAATGCTATCCACATTACAGACGGTATCATTGAAGGTGAACATGAAAGGAGAAAGACAGAAGAAAAAAATGTGAAGGGAGAAAAAAAAAACAGGAAGAAATTGAAAAAGGTATGAAAGAAAACAACAAATAAAGCATAAAACGATTGGAAACAAACAAAAAAGAACTTCATTGACAATAACGAAAATCAAAAAATGTATTGTTCAAATGCAAAGTCAATATTTACAACAACAATGATAATGGTACCAATTATTTGGAATATATATATGTATATAAAACTATTTGTATATACATATAATAAATGAGGTACAAATTCGATTAATGAATAAATTAAAAAAGGAAAAAAACAAGTTTATTTTTTTGTTGTTGGTCAATCAAAGTTATGACTTAAAAAATTCTGTTCTATCCGTTTTACATATTCACTTACTGTACCACGTGGAATATTTGGTGGTGAAGAATATAGTCGAGCCCTAAATGGTTCGTCTTCGTCTTTCCGCGGACGCATCGACGGAGGAATTGAACGAGATCTTTCAGCAGTTCGCTAAACAGTGCAGTTTATCAGCAAACAAAAAAAAAAAAGGTATAAATTTATCAACATTTGTCTATCAAAAACCTTTTTTAAAAGAATAAAGAACGAAAAAGTGTTGTATTTGTTGCTTAGTTACATAGTTGTTAGTCCTTTTAAAAAAAATAAACTGTTTAGGAATTTTTTAAAATCCAGTTTACAAAGATCTGTTGAACCGGAATTTGTGAGAAAAACCTCGCTAGTAGGCTAAGGGGCAGTTGGTAAAAGAACATTCAAGAGTACATTGTTGGTGCGGGGTATACTTTTAAACAATCTCTGTTTTGTTAAGCAACTGTCGTCCTTGCACAATTGGACTATAAAAGTACTGCTGGAAAAAGTTACATTGTAATTCGGCTATGTAACTTCATACAATTGTACGATATAATGAGGTAAGTGTTTTTAGTGTGTAAAAAAACCGCATCAAAGTTAGTTAGTAATTGCCCATAAGGTCTTGCAGAAGTTTTTCACTGAATAGACTTTGGTAAGGCTGACACAGAACGAAGCAACGGGGAAAGAAACAGAAGATACGCCAAGAATGGGAAATGAAAAGAACGGGTAGAAATCGTGCCTTCCTTCGGTACAGGTTAGAAGCGACAATCTCAGTGCGTTAAACTACTTGTACCTCTTTGTGCTTCTGGCCCCAACACTAAAAAGTGTTTAACTTGCTAACCAAACTTTTTCTTCTTTTGTAAGCATTAGCTATTAAAAGCATTGTTCGAATATTTTGGTCAGTACATTTGTTAACGTAAATAATAAAATACTGTTGAATAGTAACAATCTTCAGAGTTGTCTTTAACCATTCTTATACTATCACTTTATTTACACGTTTTCTTTAGTCGTTTCTACTCATTTCTAATCTATAAAAATTAATAGATAAAAATATGTGCATTAATTTCTTTGTCTATTGCAAAGAAACAAGTGTTCAATCCGAGTAAAAGCTAACTATAAAGACACTGAATAATTACTGTTGTAGAAAAAAAAAGAATCTGCAAAACTTTTAGCGATTATACCAAAAAACGATAAGTCTTTTTAGGATTACACTCAGGACACTATTACATTAAAATAGGACAAGTTAGAAAAAAAAATAACCGACTTGGTTAGCATAAACTAATAATCCATTATCCACTTCTGTATACACTTCCTGCAGCAACCATTGAACTGAGTGCTGTATGTTGGTTATATGCTGGTTGTGCAATATCTGCTCAGTTATAAGTGGACACCATTTAGGTAATACTTTATTAGTACTTAATGTAAAAAATAAAGATGATGCTAGAAGCAAAAAGTTTTATATGATTTACTCTTTGATAAGCTAAATTTTGGCATAAGTGATCTTTTAAAAAAGTGCAAAAGAACGTGTCTATCTTTGAGAACCAAAAAAACTTTTGTTTACAAGACTTTTTTTTGGAAAACAGTTAAATAAGACAGTATATTACATTAAACTTCTATAGTTCATATATAGATCGTTTTTTTATTTTCAAATAATTAAACTGTATCCGCCAGACTGAGCTACCCCCGAACTTTACATTAAAAATCGACTTGTTGTATCTCAATAGCTGTATCGACTTCTAATGTGAATTGCAAAGAAGCACTGCTTACGCGAGCAAGCAAAACCAATTTTCTAACATTTAGAAATTTAAACACAGTTTGGTAAGATTTCATTTGCGAATTCTCGTGATAACGTTGTTCATGAAAGAGTCATCCTTTTTACACAGATATAGAAGTGAAATTATTCCAAGTACTACATGCTAAGTTGACAATTCAGTGCGAGCAAGATTGTTTCTCATCCAAGCATCAAGTAGGCATTATGTGTTTGTCAGATACAAAAATCAATGCATTTTTTTTATCACAGATCTTTCTTCAAAAATCTAATTCGTTCGAATATTCCCCGTAATGATTTATTTTTTATTAGAAAATCTGTTGCATTAATAAGTGCTGTATTTTACATACTTTGTTAAAAAAGATATAAAATATAGACTTACATTAGGATTAGAATTGGGAGACGTGGATAAAAATAAGTTTTGTTGTCTGTTTGAAGCATTTCGGACTTCACGTGTTCGACCATTTTCTTTGTTCTCCACAACCGAACTGTTTGCTTCCCTTCTTTTTTTAGGAACCCGATTTTTAACCGGTAGACTCTTGTTCATCATTCTAAAAAAAGTCTTTAAATTCAGTACCTCATCGAAATTAACAGAAGTGGAAACCTGACCTTATAAGATGACAATGAATTAGATAAAAAGAATATACTGCTGACTGTGGTGCTAAAATAAATTCGTGTAAAGGAACAGTAGCTAACCAACTTGGCTGACACTAATTTATCCATTTTTTGGAAAAACGACTTTTTCCTTCTTTGAGAGGTTGTTTTTAGGAGATCCTCAGCAGCGCTTTGATTGGTGATCGTTACCGGACTTAAAAGAAAGAACAATGTAAATAATAACCAAATTTGGACACTTAACAACGTCAAAGTTTATCGAAAAACAGAACGTTACAAATATGCGTACTTTGGCTCCTTTGAAGTACTTGGCCCGAGGTGCAGCGCTAATTTTGGATCTGCTGCATAAACAGGTAAGCCAGCAGTTTTTATCGAACGAATTTCTTCCAACCGGCGGGCTATTTTGAGATAAGAGTCATCAGTTTGAACAATCAAATCCTGAACTAGTTTATCATTAATATTAGATAAAAATCTTCTAATTATTCTCAAATACTGCTTGCTGTAATAACATCACAAACCATTTAAAGAGTATTTCTTATGAATGTCAAGCAAACTCAAAAAATTGATTCAAGTTTACCAGTCAGAAATGGAAAAGAATTATTGAGATCATTTACAGGACGTTGCAAAAAGTGTGCGTATTTGTATAACTTTATTTATGTCAATCATAAATCACACTCAGCTAATTCAGAATTACAGAAGCCACTATAATCTACAGTGATCAGGAGAAAACAACTTTTAGGCAGGGCTGTTTTTAAAAAGATGAATGAAATTTATTTTTGATGAAGTAATATTCAGCACTTCACTCTCATAACGTGAAGGGTTTTCTGCAACAGTCCAAGTGAATTTCAAAAGATCATTTTACCGTTGTCAAAAATTAAAATTTTCAAAATTACTTCAAAGACCTTAATAGCAGTGCTGCGGCACATGCCATCCTCGTCATATCATTTCTTTTGAAGTTTTAAAGATTTTATTTTTAACTGTTAAATCAGATTTTAAAAAAGTAATAGTTAATAAAAACCTCCATAATTCGCTCTGGTTCCGATTCTCTCTCAGGAGAATCTGCCAAAGACTCTACAGAAGACTGACGTTTTTTTTTCTTGCCACGCCGACTGGATCCCACAGGAGTGGTCTGGACAGCTGCATGATTACAGTCTTCGAGCCACAACAAACACTGTACACTAAAAGTAAATAACTGATAAGCAACTGTTAATTATATTATAATGATGAATAACAGAATGTTTGCAACAGTCATCCTAAGCAATAAGTGATGATTGATTAAGATAAAAATAAAATGGCCAGTTAGCACGGTTAGTGTTTTTGGGTTCCGGTCTAGTCAGCTAACATACCCTAGATCTTCAGAATCCACACTAACTTTTGTAGGGAGAATAATCCGCTCATCTGCCAACACATCATTTCTCTGGCTCTCAGATTGCTGAAACAAATGTGTTTCTTTCAGTTTTTAAAGAAAACTTACTAAGTAAGATCAGTTATTACCTAGAAGAAATATGCTGTACTATGTCTCGAAGTATTACAACAGTTTTTACATTTAAAGATTCCGAAAGAGTGTAGTTCGACGAACGACTTGAAGAATTTTTGTTCCTGATCAAGCTGGTTGTTTCAGCGTACCTCTCTGGTAGACCATTTACCTCTTCGGCGTCTACACCAGTGGTGGTAAACTCTCGAATAGGAGCATCTGTGTTAACGCCGTCATCCCTCATTACGTTTACCGTTTGAGTAGCAGCATCCTTCAAAAACAATTTTTCAATTTATTCACTAATCCTGTTAAAATTGTTTTCTTGTTACTGGAAACCATTTTAATAAACAACTTTTGTATTATTTTGGCATAGCAAGATGAAATTCTATTTAGTTATAAAAAGTTTTCTTATGAGTGTGGTTTAGTTTGAAACGAACCGTCAAGGCTAACGGTCGCTGATGTTGACTGGTTTCAGTCTGTTGCACTGCTAGTTTTGATTTTTTTTCAGATTCAGCTTCCCGATGTTGATCCCAATTAATCGGGCTTGTTTCCATCTGAAGATAAAATTACTTCGAAAATCTGATACTCATTTACATTCTCAATACTCTTTAGTAAGTTACCTGCAAATTAAGAAGTTTTAATTTAATTTCATCGAGCTCAAACTGCGCAATGTCAGTCTGAACAGAATGATCTACTGCATCTTGAGCATCAAACTGCTGGCTTTCATCCACAAGTGTTATTTTTGGTTTTCTGATACTACCACCTCCTACAGCTGTTGATCTCAGTAACTTCGGACCTTGACTAAAAAAAAATAACTATCGTTTGCTTAATAAGTTGCATAAAAAAAAACAAGCGAGAAACTTACACAGAACAATCGACAGGAAGTGATGAAGCTTCAGAAAGCGAGTCGTCTTGAGGCTCATAAAAATCCACTCCTGTAAATTGTGTTCTTGTGCTGGATTTCTTCTGTCCTGTAGTTGTCCTAAAAAAAGTTAGGCACTATATTTCTCATCAACTTATTGCTTGCAATCACTTACGATCTGTTCAGAAAACGCTTTTATGGAGTTCTATATGACAAATTTGTGATTTTTGTTATTTGTTTTATTATACAAAAATTATTCTTGTCAATGCAACACCTTTTAAAAACAAAAAATTATTAAAGTTTTTTGTGAAAAAATAAACCTATTGATCGTATAAGAAACAGGTAAACTTTTTTATAGGATCAATTATCTAAGTGATTCATTATTTAATTATTCTTGTTAAACTTTCTGTTAAAAAGCTGTGCAGAGAACCTTACATACTGTAGATTAAACTTAATTTTTAAATACTGTTTCAGCTGTTATGTAATAGCTCTCAAATCAGTATTCATCTTTAAGAAGCTCTTTAGAGCAAATTTTTCCCTTTTAACAAATTTTTCAGGACTTGTACTTTTTTAAGATAAATTCGAACGATGTAAGCGAAATAAATTTCTAAAAGAATTTAAAAAAGCCAGAAGACAAAAAAATCACTGTTTCTTTCGTTTTCTGAAATTGAGAAATCCATAATTATGCTCTGCAGATAGAATTTTATCAACAGCAGCGAAAATAAACGTCGAGTAAACATTTAACGACAACAACGCAAAAAGTTAACTGACATCTCATTGTCGGTGACCGTTTGGGAAATATTTTCCTGTGCACCATTCAGTACTTCCACAGTTGTCTTATAGCTCTCATTATCAGTTGTTAAACCCTAAAATAATAATTCATTGGTTACTGTGATGGTCAAATTTACTGGGTTGTGCTCATCGCAAATATGATATTCCAATAAAACTGAGAAGTTATGAAAATTAACTTGTGAAGCTGCAGAATTTTCGAACACCGAATTTGTACTGGTAAAATTTTGATTGTCGAAGAAGATGTCGTCAGTTTGCACTGTTTTCGTGTTAGATGACCGAAAACATCGTTCTATAGAATCAGCCTAAAAATTTGTTGTTGAATGAAGAAAGAAAGAGAAAAAAAAGAAAAAGAAAAGAAAAAAGAAGAAACTTTTTCAACCGACCACAGTAATTCTGCAAATCGCTTGATTCAAAAAGAAAGACTTGCAAAACAATAGAGTTAAAACGTGGTTATAAAAAGTATAACAAAGCAAAATAAGCAAAAAAGTTACAAAACCAACTTCTGTCCATAAATTTAAAATGTATTTGTCGTTAAAAGTGATCTATTTAGAAGGTTTGTCTATAAAAACTGTTCAAAACCTTTGTTCAAACTTCTGTTTTAAATACTGCAGATGCCATTGCGTAATTAATTTTAATCAGAAGACTTGTTTAGAACAAATAACTGTTTATTTTTGCAGTACCATCTCGAAAGAATTAAACTGCATTTAAGTGCGCTATTTTGGCATCTTTTCTTGAGTTTCTTCTCATTGATATCAATAAAAAGTAGGTTTTGAACATATCTCGAAAACTGGTAAAAAAGGTGTGTCAAAATTGGTGTCTAATACAAGCAAGGAGTTAACCATAAAAGAACCTTATACTGTTCAATCCACAAATCAGTAAAAAACGGTAAAAAAGTTTTAGAGGGCAGAAGAAGGGTCAAAAAACTGCTAATTTACCACCAAAATCCTATTCAAATTTTCGTTTAAAATTATGCGCTATTTACAACAACAAAAGTGTAATGCAATTAAAGCAGAAGTTTTTTGCATAAATCAGTTTAGAAGGATAGTTGAAGCGACTAAGCGAAACAGACACTTGCAGATAGACAACAGCTCAAGTACAGTTCAGCCCTTTCACTCAGGGAAATAAAAAAAATAACAGTTTCGTTGACGGGACAAATTCTTCATAAGCTTTTAATCGGTAACAAGAAGATCAAAAATCAATAACAACAACAACAAAAAACCTCTTTGTTGATCTTTTCCGTTTGTTTCTCGTTGAACAAATGAGGCATAAAATTCCTAACCAACCAAGGTTCTTGATTTAAAATTTTTTCAACTATTGCTTTTCGTTCAACTGGATCACCGCATTCCAAAGCTTTCTGATATTCCTTCTAAAAACTGTGAAATAACTGATATAATAAGCAACTGTTTTTCAAATTTTAATAAACAAAAATGACGTCATCGTTTACCAGGTAGTACAAAAAAATTGTATTTTTGTCGGTGAACACTCAAAATATAATTTAAAAAAAGTTCTTGCAGTATTCGAAATATATAAGATAAACAATACCCGCAGTTTGAGAGCAAGCCGGAGTAGGAATTCTTCAATTTTAATTTGCAATATGCTAAGTAACATTGAAACTAACGACAGTCCAGCAATAACTAACAAAAACATAACAATAAGAATATGTGGGTGTTCTGGTACTACGTCACCTAAAAAGATTTATTCTGAGAATACCTTGATGACTTTCAATACGAAATGTTAAGTTTAGTAACCTCAAAAAAACCAGTAACTGCTATACAAGTTCAAAAGAAAATTATACACTTTCTAAAAGAGAGGTTTAACAACAACTGTAAATATTTGACGTAGTAAAATAAAAAATAAGACCACTAATCAAACTAGACTGGAAAAGGCATAAATTTATATGTAATATAAATGACTAAAACAGAGCTTCTACAATTTGGTTTAAGCTGGATAGAATTAGAAACAAGCTAACAACTATTTGAAACAAACGCATAAAACGTGGAGGTGGTATCCGATGAGGACTGGTTTCCAGAGGCACGAAATAAAAGATTATAAAAGAAACATGGCGAGTGGTGTGATTTTTCTAAGCCTTATCGGGCTTACCCTTTTCTAACCTATGCAACTAATAACGAAAAGAAGACTGGCAATTTTAGGAACATCTCGATGAATTCCAAACTTCAGGCAGTTCAAAAACGACAGTTGATGATCATCTGAGTCACGACATCTCCGATTCAAGTTTTACTCAAAAAAGTTTCTTTTTTTCAAAGAAGAGGTTTTCCGTCTAATAATTACATCATTAAAACATTGTCAGAAAAAGATACAGAACTCCATTATAGCTTTGCAAACAATCACTCAATTTTTTTCTTGTAATTTATATTATCTGCGATACGTATTACAGCATTGCAGTAAACTCTTTAAAGAATTTGCTAATTTTATGAATAGCACATTCTTTTCTGTTATTTAACGTTATAAGTCTCGGTACTGTAGAATTTCGCAGAAAATAATAAAAGTTTTGCGAACTATCAACAAATGTAATAAGGGTCTTACCGAGACCGATAGTTGATAAGGAAACGAAAAAAAAGTATAATGAATCATAATATGTCCAATTTTTTTCCCATATACAAAATATCCCAGCACATGAGCATATCCATGCGAAGCATATTACTAAAGCAACCCAAATTGGAATTGTCCTGAAAATTTTTGCTCTGTTCAGAATTTATTTTGCGCTTACCAATAGCACCTTTAAAGATTGTGATATAGAATGAGTCAGCACTACAAATGATCGTCTTTTATAACACTTAATTCACCCAAATAATTACGAATATTTTTGACCAGACTTACCGGCTCTCTACAACCTCATTTAAATCATCTTCAGATTTCTTCGCTTGATTTTCGATATTGATTGCTTTCGGATAACCAGCTCTACCCTCTTCGACTTCAAAAATATTTCTGAATAACAGATATTCACCTTTTGCAATATAATTAGTTTATTATCACCGATTTAGCTCATAAACACATCTCACTGATATAATGTGAGTTAAATGCGTGCCATGATCTAAAAAGTAAGACTTCCATCTAACTTTCAAATTTTTTAACTTTTTTATATCTCCATTCTGACTGTACCCTTGAAGTTATTGTCTAATCTATGGTCTAATCAAATACTTTATGCAGTTAACTTGTCACCTTTTCAGCATTTCGTGCACAAATGTAAACTTTTTACTGTAGAAGAAAAATTTTAATAATAAAACTTATATATTCTAATGGTACTCGCTTTCTTTAACAATCTTATTGCAGCGGCAAAATTTCTAAAGTTTTTAACACACTATATTATGTCGGTTTCGGACGTGCTTTCTGAATTTGAATGCGCTTTCAAATCCTACAAGTAGCCATTCTCGCAAAAATAAATAACCCCCAAAAAAAACCTATGATTTTCTCTGGTAACAGAAACTTCTTCATAAACTAGCTAGTGAAAAAAATCTTGGATAAAATTAGACGTTTAAAGGATAAAAAACGTCTCACAATTTTAAACAAATAAAAGCACAAAAATTTGCGCCCTCTTCACGATATGAATTTGGAAATGTTGATGTGTATAAAGAAAAGCAACAACCTCGGGTTTCTAGGTGCGGTATCGAATAATGATCGCCGTTTAAGTACGTTCTTCACGTTTTTACTTTTTGTTGATCCAAAACGGTATCTGCAGAAGAAAAGAGAAGAGGAACATCTGGTACAAACCAGACTTTTTAATTAACAAAGCATAAGAATGTAGAAGAGTGCCTAATTAGAAAGCTGCATAAATAAAGTTATTAATAACAGCAGTATTAACTAAATATTTGCGGTATCCAAATCACTGTACCATCAGTTACCTTCATCGGTAAGATAACGTTGGCTGACTTATAATTTTAGCTTAGATTTTTGGTATCATAAAACTGCTCAGCCGAACCGCATCTCATACCAAAATGCTTACCGTATCCAAATCGAGCTGACTAGCCTAGATAGCGTTTGACCAGACTGACTAAGAATAGCCAGCACTAACGGAATACCAACCAATGCATAGATAACTGTGAAAAATTTCCCTAATACAGTATGTGGGTATATGTTGCCGTAACCTAAATATAATTTTAATTGAGATTTGCACGAACAGAAAAGCGACAATTAACAAAAATATATCTTTTTTACGGTTTGTTGAAAAAGCTACATAAAAAGCAGCTAATATATTTAAAAATCAAAACCAAAAAGTTGGTTAAAGTGCAAAATTGCTGCTCAGATTAATCACTGTTCATTCACTTTAAAAAAAAATAACAGTAACAACAATAAAAGTAGTAATTATACTAATAGAATTAATAATGATAATAATAATAATAGCAAAAGTAGTAATAATAGTAATAACAATGCTTACCAATTGTAGTATAAACGGTTCCAACATAGTAAAGTGCACCCCATAAATCCCATTCTAAGTTATCGGTTAATTTTAAAATTTTTTTCAGTTCCGTTTCATAGCGATCAAAGATATCATTACTGAAAATTTGATAGATAATTGCCTTTTAGTATTGACGGCTTAATAATTCCTAGCGGTTATACATCATTCTACATAACTTTTTTTTCATTACTAATAGCCAGCCACTGTTTATCGCAAAACTTAAGAAGACAATAATAAAAAGTAGTAAAATACGATAAAATAGTGTTGAAAAATTTTGCTGATAATGACGGCGAAGGAAAAAAAAAATGAAGAAAAGTTATCCTGACAAACCTGGTTGTGTTTGTGGAATGACGAAGTTTTCGATATGTATCTGCACGAAGTTTCCCGATTGCTATATCTCTTTCTCTGAATTATTTATTCATCTGTTGTTGTAAATTTAAGATTTTGCAACAGATTTGTATCAAAAATTTTTTCCTTTTATTTTTTAGCACTTAGTAATAAATAAATATATATATGTAAAAAAAAAGAGGATAAAAAAACTTGAAATAACTGTTATATTTTACACCATATGTTTAGACAGATAGACAGAATAAATAGATAATGAACAAGAAATAGATGAATAAATACAAAAATTTCTGATTTTTACATTATTTTCAATTTTAATCTTTTATTTTGCAACGTTTAAAGTACAATTTTTTTTCCAATTTTTTTTTTTATAAACTTAAGCTCAAAAAAAGTAAGAGATTAACGAGTAGAAAAGGAAAACAAAATATTTGGCAGAAAAATTCATTTATTTATGCTACTTTTTTCTTTTTTTTTTTTCCAGAAAATTTTTGGTATTTTTGTAAAGTTTTTTTGTCCTATCATTTTTTTCAAAAATCAAATCTTTTAAACCGGTAACATATGTTTTTACTAAAACAATTAATTTTGCGCCAGTTTCTTTTTTTTTTTCACTCTCATCAATTTCGATTCTGAAATTCTAAACTTTTTATTCAGTCTTTGAATACGTTGATCTACAGATGAATACAAACTGTTTTCGTTTTTCACTTTTTTTTTTAGCAGATCTATGATTTTCAACTAGCAAAAAAAATGAAAAAGAAAAAAAAAATCATAAATTGATAGAAAAAACATTGAAAAAATTGTTGATAATACTATGCAAAAAGAAGCAATCATTTTTTTCGCTATGCTTACTGATACTGCTTTCTGTTTTTATCCCCGGTTTTAAACCTTCAACTGTTAGTTCCAATTTGTTGAGTAAATGAAATCTGATGCGTTATATTATCAGATACCAGAAAACTACAGTTAATTTGCTGATTTGACTTGACGATATCGTCACTATTACTTCTACCACTACCTCAGATTAACCCATTACAAGGAAATCTGATCATAGGATACAACAACAACAGCAGCAGAAGGAGAAAAAGAAACAGCAAAACAGCTCAAACACCAATAGCAATAGCAAAGAATATGGTATAAAATTAACTCAATTCCACAAAACAAAATGGGAAAAATTCAAACCTGAAAAGTCGTCGTTCATTTTCAGCTTCTAAGACGTAAAAAAATACTGCACCAATGAATGAATAAACAAATAATAGGAAATATGGGGCAAAATATCGCAGTTTGTATCGACCGTAATAATATCTGAGCTTAAAAATATTCTTTATTTTAGTATATGTTCAAAAATGAAAAAAAAAGAACCACTTTTTTTTGTAATCTGTTTATTCAGCCAGTTTTTTTGTTCTGTGTTTTCTTTTATTTTTTCTCTTTTTCCCCACTGTTAAATTACCCTTTAATCTGTCAGATGCAAAATTTAAAATGCAAGAAAAAAGAGTTGGAAAGGTGCAGTGGACTACTGATGACAAACGACAAAACGCCTAAACTTTTATGTTTCCTATTTTTTGTTCTCATATTACTGAACTTTTTTTTTTCCACTAAACAATTTTCCAACTCTAAAAAAAAAA